GGGGGGGATGGAGGGGGGCGGACTTCAAGGGAAAACGACTCTGATAGGCAGCCGGGCTTGTCGAATAGGGATGGAGGGAGAGGGGGAGGCGGCACGCGGGATTGACGGACAGCACTCCCAGCCAATGAGAGAGCCGGAGGAAGCGAAGGCCGGCCTATGGGGAGCCTGAGGTGCGAGAATGCCCGAGGGGGGCGGTGTCTTTCCGTCTCTGTTTCTCGCTGACCAGGTGGGCGCCGTCCTAGAGCGGCGTCGCTTGGCTGGCACCCATGGGGTCCTGAGGCGGGTGAGTAGCGCGGACTTTTCCCGCCTTTATCGCAAAGCTGAGGCCCCGGCTCTGCTGCAGGGGAGGCCGGCGCGGGCCGGGAGAAGCGGACGGTCGGCTTTGCTCGCCCTTCTTCGCCGCCGCGGACCGCCCCCCCTCCGTTCCCAGGCCGGTCTCGAAGCGCGGCGGCGGGGCTGGGGGTGAGAAGGAGAGGCGGGTCCGGGCCTTCTTCTGCGGGGTGGATGGAGGGGAGGGTGGTCTCCCCCTCCAGGAAGAGCTGCGTCGTGTGGGGTATTATTATTATTATTTTTTTGCGCCTGCGCCCCTCGAGTCCCTTTCCAGCCTCCGCAAAAGGCCCAGCGCTCCCTGGAGCCCTGATGGGGTTCCCTAGTTGGGTCACGAAACTCCTGCAAGGAAAACCTCCGAGCTCAGAGAGCCCCAAGGGCCCCTCACGTCAACCCTGAGCTACAAATATTCTCCTTTATTGCCTCTATCTATCTATCTATCTATCTCTATCTCCATCTCTTTATCTCTTATCTATATATCTATATCCATCCATATCTAGCTATCTATCTCCATCGACCCATCTCTATCTATCTCTATTTCTAGATATCTAGCTATTTATCTCTATCTCCATCTCTATCTCTTATATATCTATATCTAACTATATCCATCCACCCATCCATCTCTATATCTATCCACCCATCTCTATCCATGTATCATCTATCCATCACCTATCTATCTCTACTATCTACTATCTAGCACTGATGATGTTACCTAGTTGGGGTCATGAAACGTCTGCCTGAAAACCAGCAAGCTCAGAGAGCACCCAGGACTCCTTGGTCATCATCATCTCCTTCCTCCTCCTCTTCCTCCCTGCACACCCCACTCTCCTCTCTTTCTTCTACGATTGATGATGTTACTTAGGTGGGTCACGAAACGTCTGCAAAAAAAAACAAAAAAAACAGCCAAGCTCAGAGAGCTTGGACCCCACAGTTCTCTCCTCCTCCCTTTTCTTCTATCCACAAAGCCTTCTACCACTGATGCTGTTACCTAGTTGGGTCATGAAACGCCTGCAAAAAAACCAATCAAGCTCAGAGTACCAAGGACCCCGCAGTCCTCCTCTTCCTCCTCCTCTTCCATTCCACAAACCTCTCCCCCTTCTAGCACTGATGGTGTTACCTAGGTGGGCAATGAAACATTTGCAAAAAAAAAAATCCCACACCAAGTTCAGAGACCACCAAGGACTCCTTGGTTTTCCTCTTCTCCTCCTCTCCACAAACTCCACTCCTAGCACAGATGCTACTACCTAGTTGGGTCATGAAATGTCTGCAAGAAAACAGCCAATCTCAGGGAGCACCAAGGACCACCATATTCCTCCACCTCTCCCTTCTGCAAACCTCTCTCCCTTGTAGTACTGATGCTGTTGCTTAGTTGGGTCATGAAACATCTGTAAGAAAACCACCAAGCTCAGAGAGCACCAAGGACCCCTCAAAATGCCTAGGATTGGTCAGGTGCTTGGAAAGGGAGAAAAAAATTTTTGTTTGAAATCTGTTATAGAGAAGTAACAGCTAAGAACTCTACTGGGGTTAATAATACTTAAGCAGGGTCTAAGTATTGTTCATTGCATGCTGTGTAATCCTTTGCTAGTAGTACCAGGTAGTCCTCTACTTAAAATGACCACCCATTGAGCCCAACATTTCTGTTGCTAAGCGAGACACAGTTTTCCTCCCATCTACCCACCTTTCTTGCCAAAGTTAAGGGAATCACTGCATTTGTTAGGTTAGTAACACGGTTGTTAAGGCAATCCGGCTTCCTCATTGAATCTGCTTGTCAGAAGGTCGCAAAAGGGGATCGCGGGACACCAGGACACTGCGACCGTCATAACTGTGAGTCGGTTGCCAAGCACCCAAATTCTGATCACGTGAACATGGGGATGCTGCTAGTCCTAAGTATGAAAACTGGGCGTGTCCCCTTTTTCAGTGCCCTTGTAACTTTGGCCCCTCAGTGAACAGTTGTAAGTCAACAGACTCCTCCATATGTAAGTTTAGCAACTCCATTAAGTTCATACGCTGTTTAATTATGGACATGAGCACTTTTGTTGCAAAAACTGCTCTACTTTTTAAGTTCTCCAGCTAATTAGATACAGTACTTTTTTCAATATCTGCCATCAGGGCCATGGTACTTTTAAAGAATCGCACCAATATTCTCCAAAACAAAATACAGCACTAGATGATAAAAAAAAAAATGCTTGATTCCCGACGAGTACCAAATTTGAAGAAGCTCAGTATAGTTATTCCAAAAGAGTAAGAGTAACAACCAGGGTCTCCTTCTGCTAAGCTAAAAGCACTCAGGAAAGTTGAGTTTCGTAGAATTAGGGTCACTAGTCTGCTTGTACTAGAGATACAGTGGTTTAGTTGAGATGATCAGAGATAAGCTTACTTTTTAATTTGGATTTTTCTTTCCCCTTTATTACTTTACATGTTACTGAAGTTAGCAAACATCTAATGCAGGGAGTCCTCAACTTACAACAGTTCGTTTAGTGACTGTTCAAAGTTATTATGGCACTAAAGAAAGGGACTTAAGGACCACTTTTCACACTTACGACCATTGCCACATCCCCACTGCATGCATCCCCCAACGAAATTTGGATGCTTGGCCACTGATTCATACTTATGACGGTTGAAGTGTCCCAGGCTTACGTGATTGCCTTTTGCATTCCTCTGACAAGCAAAGTCAATGGGGAAGCCAGATTCACTCAACAACCATGGTGCTAATTTAACAGCTGCGGCGATTCACTTAGCAACTGTGGCAAGGTCATAGAATGGTACAAAATTGACTTAACAAATGTTTCACTTAGCAACAGAAATGTTGGGCTCAGTTGCGGTGCTAAGTCAAGGATTACCCGCAGTCTTTCCTTCTCCTAATTTCCCCACAACAAAATCATGGGAGGTGGGTTGGTCCAAAGTCACCCACTTGGCTTTCATACCTAAGGTGGGCCTAAAACGGTCTTCTGCTTTCTAGTCGGATGACTTAACCACTACACTTAACTGCCCCCCTGCTGCCAAGTTTGCAAAGAGGCTGTCCCTGCAGGAAATCGTTTCTTTATGGTAATGACGCCATGATGGCACAGTGGTTAGAATGCATTGCTGCAGGTTAACTCTGCCCACAGTCTGCAGTTTGATCCTGACCGGCGCACGGTTGACTCAGCCTTCCATCCTTCCCAGGTTGGTAAAATGAGGACCCAGATTGATGGGGAGCCATAGGCTGGCTCTGTAAAACCGCTTAGAGAGGGCTGGAAAGCATTATGAAGTGGCATATAAGTGTAAGCGCTATTGCTAGCGCCATAATCTCCATTACAAGGCCAAATGAATTAAATGAAACAAGTAGAAATGTCCTGTTCAGTTTTATAGAACTCATAAAAGCAAAAATTTCCAGTTCACAATATTCACCATATATAATATAGATATAAATCAATGAGGGTGAACCTTTTTGGTGTGGTGTGCCAAAAGTGCTCGTGCGCAAAAGCGCGCGCATGCCGGCACCCACAATGCAATGCACCCCTCCCCCCTGCGCATGCATGTACAACACCCCCCGCCCCCTTACTTGCACTGCGCATGCGTGTACCTCCCAGCTAATTTTCAGCCCGTTTGAGGCCGTTTTCCCCCTCCTGGCAGCTCGAGGGAAGCCTCTGCAGCCTCGGGAGGCTGAAAACTGGCCCGTTTCAGTATTTCCGGGAGGCCCTTTTTTCACCCTCCCAAGGCTTCCCTCAAACCACTGGGAGGGCAAAAACGGCCTCAAACGGGCCAAAAATCAGCTGGGAGGTGCACACATGCGCAGTGCAGGAAGTTTGGCTCGGGCTCGCATGCCCGCACAAATGGCCCTGCGTGCCACAGGTTCACCATCATGGATATAGATTTTATAGAGAGAGGGAGGGAGGGAGAGAGAGAAAGAGAACGCTTTAAGGGCAGACATATGCAGAAGGTCTTTTTATATGTTTTTACCCATCACCTTATTTCTTCCTTTTATTCTAGGGCATCTCTTTTTCTGTTCCGTCTACTGACCTACCAAGGCTGTTTAAATGAGAATGTCCTTGGCCCAGAGAGTGCTACTCACATGGCTCTTTACATTACTGTTCCTGATCATGTTGGTGTTAAAACTGGATGAAAAGGCACCCTGGAACTGGTTTCTCATATTTATCCCGGTTTGGATATTTGATACCATTCTTCTCGTGATGATCATCGTGAAGAT